TTTTTTTTTTTTTTTAAGTTTCGATTGAATTTATTTCAAAGATCGTGGGCTATCGAGCGACTATATTATTAAAATGACGCGTGTATTAATTCCAATTAATTGTCTGCGAGTGTGACATTATTACCAAGCATTCGTGAGAATGGCAACGTCAATTAACTCATTGAACGTTCATTGAAATTAAAAGCTTCGGTACAAAGTACGGTCGTTCATCTTTAAATATATACATACCGTTTATTAATTATGTTATAACTTGTTTGAAAACGTATCAATTCCACGATTTAAAAAATGATATAATTGTTTATTGTAAAATCATTGGTGTAATAATAAAATAATAATATTAATTTATTAATATTAATCCGTATCACTAATTTCATTCATCATCAAACAAATCATTTCGAGATTTATGATTTCCAAAATATCGAACAATTCTTTGCAGAGTCTCGGTTGTCCGGCGATATTTGTCGAATATGTCACATGGGCAGTTTCTCGACGACCGACGAAAATCGAGCAAGTCGTGAAAGACAGAATCAACCTATTCGAAGAGTTGACAGTCAAACGTCCACATTATCGTCCTACGCGTATCTCGGCCCTTTGATCTCGGCTTGCAAGTGAGCTTATCGATACCCGTTGCGATTTATCTGTTTCGCTAATCAGATTGCCGCACTATATCTTGTAAAACGGGAACACATTGAGCTTAAGATTACTATCGGGCTCGATCCATCGAACGCTCTTTTTCAAAGATTAACATCGGTGGTTTAATCTAGCTATAGAATCAGAAACATTTCTTTCCGTGATGCAGAGGAATTGATTTGGAAGTTTTCTGATGAAATTGACATGATATTTCATTTTTTCTTTCTTTCTTCTGAAAACTTATTGGAGAATTTCTTCTTCGAAATTCAAGGCGAATTTTTAGTTGACTAAAACTTGAAGCTTTGAACTTCGAATTATTAATTATTTTCAACTTTGAGGCTTCGGCTTTTGAATTGTTTCAATTATAATACCTTAAACTATGAACTTCTGAAGTTTGAATCATTGATTATTTAATAATTCGGTTCTGAAGATTTCCTTATTTTCTTCGACGATGCAGTTTAGAATCTTTGCAGATTTCAAACTGATTTACTGAACATAATGTTTAATGTAAGTAAATCATCAATAGACCATCAAACAATCTACTGCTTGGCCAAATCAAAAAATTTCACAATCGTGATTCTTTGTATATTTATCTTGATCCATTTATCACTTTCAATGAATACGACAGGTGTCGTGGGACAGTAGCGTTGGTACATGCGGAATGTCTTGAAAGATGGTTGACAGAATCGGGTCACTCGAGATGCGAGCTTTGTGGCTACAAATACGCGACTAAAAGGGTACCGCGTCACAATTTGTTTCGTAGTGTCGCAATATGGTTCAATACCGTAATAGTGACTCGTCAGGTAAGAGATCTTGCTTATTCACTATTCAGTTATTCCTCTACACTGTAATGTCATTCAATATTTTCTTGTTGAATCTTGAATTCGATATTCAATTTTGTCAAGTAATATCTTGATTGTTCAACATTCTACAATATTCATTGTCTCTTCATTTATTGGCATATCACTGTCTCTTTACACTATAATAATACGAGGAACAAAATCTACATTTTTGTTAAATATTTTCTATCATATCTATCATCAGTGGAGGAAATCCACTATACTTTCTTTTCGTTCCCGCTAAATTTATTTTTCTTTCAAATTTCACACAACTCAGATTCTTGTTATAAATACGATTCTCTCTATCAAATGGAAACTATCACATTTCCAGATGCTTTTGGATATATTATACCTAATAGTGACCACACCATTAGCTCTATTCTCATGCTACATTTGTATCCTGGCTCTGAGAATGTTGCTGAAACGTGGCTTACAAGAGATGCCCTGGATGGTCGTTGCCATGCTCCCCACTTGTTCACTCACTCTAATCGCTTACTGGGGTTGGATAATAACTTTGGCCAGGTGTGTTAATTACCAGTTTGCTTTCCGCCATCGCCGCGTTTCATGCACGATATTACACTCAGTTCGAAAAGAATCGTCACGCCACAGTAAGAGGGGACATTCATATTAATGCGCGGTAATTGAATGAAATTAATTTAACCGCGATACTAAATTACCATCGGACGAGTCGCTCTTTCACTTACAGTAGCTGGCAAAAGTTTAAGACCTTGATAGAGTACTTTGTAATAATAATTCACAATCTGTTTTACAATCATTTGCACATTCACGAAATTGCATAAAAATTCACAGTCTATACATTGAAGATATCAATATCTTCATTTTAATAAAATGGAATCTACAATCGCTTT